TCCCTTATCAAGGATGAAGAGGAAGAGAAGCAGGGACAATCCTCAGGGGCAGTGCAGGGGACCCTAAGAGTACCACTGCAGGGAACATCCACTGCTAAACCTCGGAAGAGGCATGTGGTCGTGGTTGGGACTCCTTGTTGAGAAATACAGAAGCAGTGGTTTGTGGGCCTGACAAGATGCCCCGGGAGGTGTGTTGTCTCCCTGGGGTAAAAATCTGTGATGTGACAGTGAGTCTGACAAAACTTGTCAAGCCTACTTAACATTACCCCTTCCTCTTGGTCCATGTGGGAACCAATGATACTGCAAAGCATAGTCTTTAGAATATCAGAAGGGATTATGAGGCTTTGAGTACAACCTGAAAGAGCTGGACACAAAGGTTGTTATCTCATCCCTTCTCCCAGTTAAAGGGCGAGCCTCCAGCACTTGAGGAGGCTTTATAAAAAACATCGAGACCATCAAGGTGATCAGCCCCAGCTGAGCTCTGGCAGCTCAGGGATTTAAGCAAGTGGGGAAGCGTTGCCTCAGTGCAAGTTTAGGCTGATTAACAGAAGTATAGTATCTAGATCAAGGGAAGTAATAGTGTCACTGTATTCTGCTTTGGTCAGGCCGCACCTTGAATACTGTGTCCAGTTTTGGGCACCACAGTTCAAAAAGTCTGTTGAAAAACTGGAGTGTGTTCAGAGGAGGGCAACTAAAATGGTGAAGGGTCTGGAAACCTTGCCCTATGAGGAACAACTTAGGGAACTGGGTATGTTTAGCCTGGAGAAGAGATGGTTAAGAGGAGATATGATAGCCCTGTTTATTTGAAGCAATGTTATATTGAGAAGGTGCTAGCTTGTTTTCTGCTGTTCCAGAGAACAGGACCCAGATCAATGGATGCAAGCTACAGGACAAGAGATCCCACCTCAACATTAGGAGGAACTTCCTGACAGTGAGAGCTGTTTGACAGTGGAACACATTCCCACAGAGTGTGGTGGAGTCTCCTCCTTTGGATGTCTTTAAATGGAGGCTGGATAGTCATCTGTCGGGGATGCTTTGATTTTGAGTTCCTGCATGGCAGGGAGTTGGACTGGATGGCCCTTGTGGTCTCTTCCAATTCTATGATTCTAAGTTTTGTGCTCAGTTGTATATCTTTGCATTTTAGGATATTTTCTTGTTCTTTCATAGCCACCCTCCCCATTCTTAATCTTATTCTGATTTCCTGGCTGCAGTCCCTGTTCCTAGCAATGTTTGTTCCCAGGTATGAGAAATCTTTTTCCTATTTCATTTCTTCATTGTCCAGCTTGAATTTATGTACTACTCACACATACTACTTCTACATAATTTGCAACTCAAAGACTTGCCCA